GGCCGTGAGTGCAGGTCAGTTGTCTGAGCAGTATTTGGACAGTTCTTTAAAATATGCTGCTGGAAAACTACAGATTGCTGAGTTTAAACTGTTGCAGCGTCAGGCTATTGAAGCATCTGTACGCGGGCGTGACGTTTTCGTCTCTACCCACGGGATATGGTAAGAGCTCCATATTTCAAGCACTGCCGTTTTGCTTTGACCATTTGGCCTTCATGAACTGCTACTTGTTAGTGTTACTCCAACGTCAGAACCATCCCCCACCAACAAGCATCATAGTTGTCATCTCACCGCTTATTGCCCTCATGAAAAACCAAATGGAAACATTGCGTAAGCTTTGGAGCTGATGCCGTTTATTCTAGAGACTCATCTGCTTCGACTATTTACGTGAAATTTATGAACAATGCATATCAGAAAGCTTTTGAATAATTCACCACAATAACCTCAAAATCAAGTTGGAAAAGGCCTCTTGGCTGACTGCGCCGCCTGCCTGGTCTCCTGTCCAGTCGCTTTGCGGTTACACACACACAACCACGAAGGCCTTGACGAAAGGCTATAAGCTGAAGCGTTGTTCCATGCCGCCGTGCTCTTTTTGACACAGTCTTGGTGCGATTCGCTAATAAATTGTAACTCATGGGCGAAAGCCATCACCATCACACACGTATAGTTTGCACCAATCGTATAGTACGTGTACCTTCCTGGACACTTGACAGTACTTGCTGCAAATACGCTAAACGCCCTCTACTGACAACGCGACGCTTATAAAGTTCAACCTCACCCCAGGGCCCAATACCGGGTACAAAAAGCAGGATAAGATATTGCGTGCAGCCCGACAAATTTGTGCAGTTACGGCTGGGGAGTGTCATGCAGCCAGGCTGGCCATCCATGCAACGGCTTCCATTGGCGCACGTATCATTCCCGGCCGTAGCCAGTACCATTGAACTTGGTCTTAACGCGGTCTTGACCTTGTCTTTATACGTGTGTACCAACGAGAGGCCAAACGTGTCACCCGACCATTAGCATGATTAGCGGCCATCTCACATTGTCATCCTGTAGGGAGTGAGTGGGTCTTGTATCAGGTGAACACGCCCGCTGTCTTGTGAATGTGAGACGGCTAGTTCACACTTGGCAATCAATCTTCATTATCCTTAGAAAAACACAGACTCGCCTGTTAGATGCAAGCTTCCTTTTTTATCGCCAGAATTCCGATTTGATAGGCGCAGAGGAGATGGGGTCCTAAGGCAATTTGACGGCGGGTTTTCTTTTTCTATTTTTTGTACTGCACGGCATTGAATAAAAGCTTCAGAATTCTCCAAAATGAATCAAAGGTAAAACCATTTTGAGCTCACGTTACCATGCAAAGCGAACGTTAACGTTAAAACTCAACTGCACACATGGGTGCGTCTCTCACAGTCATTCGTAAGCACAGGCAAATTCTGTCGACCCTTTCCAAACGCGCACTTGGTCGAAAGATTTCGCGCATTGTGATTGGCTAACGCGTTGCAAACTCTTGGAAGTGCACTATTATTGTGAAACGCCCGTATTTAAACGATGCAATGCACTGAATTCTCAACTGAGTTTATTTGGGATGTGGCAATTTTACAAGTGCATCAGCTGTGGTCACAGTGACTCTTTCTCACGAATTTGCCAACGGGTGATACGCAACATATTACCTCGCCAAAAGGGAGAAAGTAAAAACTGTGATGGAGATATATGGGTCACAGCGGCATGGTCACCTGTTGCTCTCTGATTTTTCTGTTGGTGGGCTGTAAATACTTAGGCCGTAGTTGTCTGTCCGGTGAGCTGGCCTCTGGCACCATCAAAAATTACTGCGGCTCTAAGGTTTAACAGCGACCCCGTAATACCCAAAGCCCAAGGTTATTGCACCGGGTCGGGCAAAGAGGCCACGGCCCCTGGGTAAACGGCGCAGAAAACACCGCTCGTATTTCTTCTCTGTGGTCAGAGTAAAATGGAGCTTTCATTCGCAGAAACCCGCAAATCATTGGCCTTTTTATACCGCACCAAATAGTTCGCTATCCACAGATCAGGATACTCAGCTTTCTATAGCACGTAAAACCAACATTAAATACCTGTGCTGTACATATATATGTTGGTTAAAAAAGGTACTTGTGCTGCTAAAATATTACTGTTTAATGATCCATTGCCTAAATATTCCAGACCGTGAGCAAGGGAGAAGTACTTCCATAATATGGAGGAAGCGCTGAGCCAAGTTTGAGCCAACAAGTTCGAATATATACTATACCAACAGATGTCACGTTAAACGAGCGACGACCGCAACCAAATTGGCCAACCAACCGGGGTAAAGCACATTGTTGGTGGCGAGACCTTCGGCCTGTTGTTACCCTTGGGGGAGGCTCGACCGCACACTCCTTATTTTTATCACCCACGGCTCGAACGCAAGGTTATTTCCTCCTCTATGGTATTACACCACACCACATGATTCTGCATGGTTCAACAAAATTTTACGATGCACATATTCATTGTTTAAAAACTCGCCGTGTCAGATTAGACTTGATTCAAGACTGTATTTTGAAATGCTAAACTCCCTCTTGGAACCGGGCAGCGCATCCTTAAGTTGCTGGAGTGCATACATTTAGAGAGGAATCCCATGACACTAGTCTCACTGTTTGTAAAGTTCAAGGTTTGATATGGGTCGAAAAAGACAGATGTTATGAACCATTTGATTAAGAATAAAGCCAGAGGTATTGCCTGGACCGCAATAATGTGTATAATAATGCCAAAGCCCTGGGACCCAAGCTAGCATCTTCAAGCTCGCCCCTACAATCATGTCACTATTATAGGTCTGTGCCGTCGAAGTTGTTTCCTTGCTCTACGCAGAAAGTAACTGGCAATACTATACATGCATTTACACAAATCTAAAGTAGTTCAGATTATTATCAAATGTATTATCAAATGCCTTATGGTAACTACAAAACCTAATGTGTTGCAAGCAATAAGTCACCCGTAATGTCCACATCTTGTTCCCCTAGACGATGGTTCCGAGAGACCAGGAGTCGGCGTTGGAAGAGCAGCCTGCAGACGGGGTCGAAGAGGTTGTCGGGCCCCGCTCGAGCCACCACAGGCCGCTCGCCGGTGTAACGCAGCAGACATCTGATTGATGGGCAGCCGCTGGCTCCCGTGGGGACACCATTAAAACCCCATTAAGCACCCAGGAGGCCACAGCTCAGCGGAAACGGAGCCGTGTCGGAAGACGAAAGAGCGGGACGAAACATTTTTTTTCTACAGAGCCCCCCAAATTCTAGTCGACATGTCTGAAGAATGTCTACTGCTGGGCGATCAGGCTGCAACTCTCAGTGACGATGACAGTAGAAACATCGCTTTGTAGTCAGGGAATCAGGGCCAACACATTTAGTGTTGCAAAGAATGAGAATGCTGTGCACTGGGACAAGAAGATTTTCCATGATCTCGCAAAAACATCGGCACTACGCACATTGATCACTGGTGAACTGGAATGGGATGTAAACCTTACCAAGGAGAACTTTTATTCATAGTATCAATAATAGTAATAATGTTTATTTATAAAACGCTTTCCATACCGAGTACCTCAAAAATTCCTGATACAATATAGAAATTAAAAGCAAAATAAAAAGAAAAATACATATCACACAAGTATATCAACAGTTCAAACCTAGTTAAAATACTGATTAAAAAGAACATTTTCAGACGCCTTTCTCTCGCTCATGTAACAACTGCAGGTTTGGCCATAAATAAAAGCTATATGCCTATGCTCATTTGCACTGTTAAGCCACTACTTGTCCATTGAGTTCGCACGCTTTAGTTAAAGGGAACATACATAGCACTTGAGTTGCTTTGCGTCAATTTACTCACTAATTATTACTCTGTTGGATGAAACTTGTCTCTGCTGGTATCAATGTATAGTAATTGCGTAACAAGCCGGAGAGGAGTTCGAAAAACTCCAATAGTGGCAACGAACTCTTCCTCCATCACGTGATGGGAACGAGCACGTGAATGAGAGTCCCGATTTCCAGTCGGAACTTATAAGCAAGACTTGCGTCGCATTCGCATCCACTGTGACCAGCCTGAGAATTGACGATTCCTATATAGGACGAATGCAATTTGGTCACCAAGACCCTCTCCTGCTGTGTGCCTGCATAGCAAAGTACCGCAACTTCCAGTGCAATGGGACCTAAACGAGTGAGAGAATGACTTTTTCAAAGACCCCCCTCCCCCAAAAAGCGAGTCGGGACCCGGGTAAGTCACTTAAAGTAAATTTTTGCAGGCTTAGACGAGGATCAAACTTCCTTGCGTACTTATAAGTTAACCCAAGCAATTAAGAATGTCTGGTGTGCGTATGTGGGGGGGGGGGTTCAAAATGATCGTTGCAAATAGCCAATCATAACCACTAATCTTGCTTTGAAATGAAGTTGATAATAATTTCGTACATCTCCCTCGTCGATATGTCGGTTTGGTGTCAGGAGTATCAGCAAGAAGTTCTTCTTTGTCACATTTACCCTCATTACTTGTGTCTGATCTTATGTCCAGTCTTACCGTGGTCCACTACAACACCGGTATAGTTTAAATTGAATTTATGTGTCCACTCACTTCCTGAAATAGCCATAGTAAATGTTTACAATAGACTAGGTGGTTTTCAGTTTCAAAATTTTCTTGTAACATGGCGAGTAAGCTCGAGGGCTGATACTAACAGTCTTTTGTCTTCTCAGTTTGCTATTTCATTCGAGTGATACTTTTCAAGCGTTACCCACAAAATTATCCTTAAAAACCCATGGCATGAAAGTTAATGCTGCGTGCAGTATGCACCACATCCTATATGCGCCGGGAGCCATGGGATTTGTCCCTGGCTTATATGCCGTCATCGGTCCCTGCAGCGCCTGCACGCAGGCGCAGTGACACCGCAAAGCGGTGACCTGAACCCGGGAACATATTCCAAGCCTGGCTCGTTCTTCCCATGCTGGGAGACATCCCATAGAGCTGCATGAATGGAAAGCAGATCTCTGTAAACACTACAGACAGAGGGGTCGTTGTAAACGGACGGGTTCATGCGCGACACACTTTGCCACCGCTAATGTGATGATGATGATGATGATGACCAGAACTGCCCAGTTAGATATTTGAAACAAAATCGTCAAGTGGCTGGCATTTTTCCTGAAGGAACCGACTCTCAATTTGAAGAGCTCGCAATATCCCAGCGCTTTGTAATTTATAATCGGAACAGATACTGCAAAGTTGCACAAAAAGGTGTAGTGGTTCTCCCTTGCTTGGTTGTGTCACTGTGCCGACATTTTTTTCTCGGGTGCGCTGTTTGCGGTAGTTTCGGCCAACTCCGGACGCAAATCGCCTCCGCTGGACTTTGCTTTATCAATGACGTCTCGGCGAGACTGACCGGGCGAATTCTTGGGACCTCTGTGGCCACCGCGTGCCGATCGGTTGTACATCGGGGAATCCGGACTCCGTGAATGATCTGTGGGGCTGCGCGATGGAGCACTCCTTGTACGGGGGCAGTACGGCGCCTGTCCTGCACCACTATCCCGGAAGTTTGTCCACAGCCAGCTCGCAGCTTCAGCATGCTTCGTATCAGGTAAAGTTACTGTCGTTTTTGTCTTCTTGTAAAAACTGCAAAAAATCTTAATCCTGAAGGAGAATAATGTTTTTTTGAACTATGTAGGACTATTAATGTTAGGTATTAATCTTTGCATACGAGCAATCAACATTGCACATTGTGTGCTCGGTAAAAACCGAAACACCAAATAAGGCTACGGTAGGCCTACTAGCCTAACTTAAGATGGCACATTTCAAATGATATATATTGTAAATAAACTAACATAACAGAGGCCTTTTTGACGCCATGCCAATCATGAATGTGTTATGCGCATGACCAAGGTAGTTGTAGGCAGACATGGCAGTAATCCACCCTCGGTTCCTCACATTTGGAGAGAACATGTGAAAACATTTTAGATGCTATGTCTTCCGAAAATATCACCGAAATGTTATGTAGAATCATGCATTTTTTGTAACCATTTTTTCCCGGAAAAATTCTTGCCAATGAATCAGGTGACGTTGTCGGGACCAAAAATCAACCGTCTCTACGAAGAACTCATTTCTCTAGACACTCGTTTTCTTGGTATCTACTGGAAGGATATTAGCACACCGTGCTCCGATTTTACCGGTTGACTCATGAAAATGCTACAATAAATAAAACAGCACATTCATAACATCAAAATGGAGTCAGACAACTTTAAACAGGAAATATTTGCTGTGTGTTCCGCGTGGACTAAGAAACGCGTTTAAAGTTGCATTACCGCTGACAGCTTTAGCTTCGAATACGATTAAGTTAATGAAAAAAACTGCATGGTGACTCTGGTATCGTGGAACACGTCGTTGTTGTAATGAAGACGGAGTAATGTCATTGGGCTTACTGGCCGTCGTTATATTTTAGTAGTAGTACAGTATAGTGATTGTTGGTGGCTACCTCTTGGATATTATTACCTGCTCATTAATCCGTGTCTGAAACAGTGTAGGGATGATATCGCGTATCGTCCCATCTATTGCACTTTGTGTGATATTACACAAGGCTGTAGAGACAGCAACAGTACAAAACCAGATGTTGGAAGCTTAAAATTTCATCTCCATCATCGGAATAATAACACGCGCTTTCCGACTTTCCGGTGACTTGCAAATTGCACACTGCCTGCTTTCTTCTCCTTGGGACGGAACGAAAGCACAGCCCAGCGCCTGCCTGGGCTGCCCCGGTCATTCTCTCCCCACGTTCCCGTGTCTCTCGTCTCGGTACCAATTTGTCTTGGGAGGATTTAGACGAATAAAGCAAGGCTTACTTTGTTTTTCCCATATACCAGTCAATCAAACGGCACGTTGCAGCATATCGTGTCAGTTTAAGTTGCAGGAAATACTATGATCCCCAGGCGGGCTTTATATACGCTGATTTGTTTTTTGCGTTGCTGTTTCCGGTTTCCATGCATTCTGGTCGGACCTTAAGTCTAAGGCCAGGGTCACGACTTGGCACCACGAGGCTTGTAGCTGGTTAGGACAGCGATCGTCGTCTGCACCACGGAGGGCCCCCGGCGACTCAAACCGGAGCGGCCCTGCTCAGGCCGGAGAGCCAAGACGCAAACAAATACCGTACAGGCAGGAACTAACTCATTCCAAGAGTAATCCCCCAGTAAGGACCTGACAAGTACATATCACAGCATTGGGACTCGGGAGTTCAACCTATAAGTTATTTGCAGCATTTATTCAATGTAGCATTTAACCTCCAAATGTACTGGAAATGATAACACGTTTACAAGGAATTTGTGAACTTGTCAGTTGGTGCATGCAACACTGTCTGTTGCTTGATTCAGCCATTTTTCCTCGCGAAAGACTTCAGCTCAAAGTTCAATAGGGTCTGAAAGGTACCGGTAAGGGAAATCAATAAAATTCTAGAAGATGCGGAACTCTAACAAACGCTGCGCGCTTGCTTAGATATTTTCACTTTGTACTGTGTGCGACATGCTAATGGTTCATGACATGTCAGTCCGCTGAGTTCTCCTTACAGGCACTGATAACATTAGCAGTTTTCATGGCTTAATTGTCGGGAAGTGTCCGTCAGTTTGGCGGCACGAATATATAGCCAACAGATGGAAACCGTGACAGTGCAAGCGGAGTTTACGTCGCAATGAGCTCGAATCGGTTTCACTATACCCCTAGAATTGCCACACTTCTTGGCAGACTGTCAAATGGGGAGGGTTGCTTCCTCTTTAGAGCTGGTGAATGTGGAAGGAGTGTGAAGGCATTGTTTGTCCTTTTTTAGAGTTGTAAACAAAGAGGACATCTCCCCAGTCGCAGTCACCAGATTCTCACGTGGTCCTTTCTCTTCAGTGCACGAAAATAAAGCTGTTGCACAACCGTCATATTTTATGAGGGACGTTTCGGGCACTTCGGAAACGGTGCCTGAGTTATGTAATGAGTCAGACAAGTGAACAGTAACCAACAGAAAAGCAAAGCCGATTGCATGTTCCAGGGAAATCATTGAATCAGCCAGATTGTTTGAGATAGGCCTATTTTGTTTTTTTCTCAAATTCGCCAGTTAAAACTTTCTTTCGTGATCGCAAAGACGGTGAAACGTTGCGCAACATTTATGATGACGCTTGAAATTTAGCAAGGCACGATGCTATTTGTAGTAACGAGCAAATCCAGTCAGTTTGAGCTCTTTTTGTTAAGATTGATCTTGATCTTGAGAGTCAATGAGAGTTAATTTTGTTGGTGTTCAAGGCAGAATCACACGCCCTTGAAACTTGACCGTAAAAGCGTCTGTGTGTTCGCAGCCGCAAAGTGTTCCCGTAAATTTCTTCGTAAATTTTCTCGGCCTTAGCAACCGTCTCCGTTGCTACCAATCCCACCGCGATTCCGGCCACGAAACGTCATACCTTACTTCCTTGCCCAAAACCCCTATCCGCGATCCGAGAAAATCAAAATCCCAACTTGGCCGCACTTGTCGTCTCCTTTCAGCGGCAGCCACCAATAAACGTCGCTGACATTCGCACACCCACACATCCGAATGAAAATCTATTATTTATCGTCTTGTCTTAATTTATTCCACTGAAACAGTGCTCTCTGAAGAGTTTGAACTTTTTCAGGGTACACCGAATAGGCCTATGCGTGTTTTTGCAAGGGCTTATCCGACATGATAAAGGCCTACTTTTCATGGTTTGTCATTGTCTGTCATTGCCTTGTTTGTGTTTTCGTTCACGGATTAAAGTTTCACGCACATGGCGATTGAAACATTTACATATGGTGGTCACTAAAAGTGCATCGAGAATGAAGAGAACAAAAGAAACAGTAAATGTCCATCAAATAAAAACAACCCCGCCTTGCAAGCTGAAAATGAGTTGGGTCATGTTATACTCACATGAAAGTACCTCCTTTAAGTTCATTGTTGGTTTGATCAGGGTTAAATTTTGCTCAACGTTCGAGAACAATTTCGGAAAGAGTGAAGCCCGTTGATCTTTTTTTAACTGTAAGTGTAACTCTGGCTACGCACCAAGTTCAACGTATTCTGCCAAGTTTTCGAGCGCAATCATCGTGCTGTTTTTACAGTGCGATGGTCTAATAAGTCGTACTGTTTTTTCTAATCTAGCACAGTGTTACGAAACTCCGGAAGAGCGATAACATCTCTTAGTGTAGCGTTATGAATGGAAACGCTGGAACTCGACCTTGCGTTGGGTCATGATTTTTTTGCGGATAAGTCTACCTTTAAAGGGACAGGATATATCCACAGAACGTTACAATCACTGTTAAGTCGGTAGCTTCAGTCACTGACATTTTAACGAATACCTTAACTCACAATTTGACCCTTAAATTTAATCGATTAACTGAAGCTCAAACGGCGCTTTTTGTCGATTTTACGTTAAAGAACAGAGCACTCAACCCATTGGATATAGTATGACATTCTAAAACGTCGAGTCGGAGATAATTCTTAAGGAGAAAAAAGTGCCTTGATATTTTCGATCATCACCCGTAATGAAAAAAGGGGGTATTTTATAGTCAAAGGATGATGGTACCATGATAACTCATTAACCAGGCCTATTTGAATGGGAGTAAGCTTGCGGCTATTCCATCATCATCATTGATACGTGTATAGGACTTCATTGTTTTTACCTTTGACACAGGCTCCTAAAATGAAATTGAAAGCCTTGAATGTTTTGATGACCTGAAACTGGTTGCGGCTATGGCTTTGAATCGAGTCTTCGGACTGTCTGTATACAATTTACAGATGTCGGCAGCATGAGCCGTAACATCTCACACAGTCAGGGGCTTGTTCAGAGAGAGACAGTGCCTTGAGTGTGAACCCTGGTTCATTTCGGCACGATAATTTTAAGCTCTTTCCCACATTCCAGGTTAATTGTCGCTGATTTCTGCCGACATCTCCGATCACAACCATTATTATTCCGCGCAACATGGCGATGTTACAGTTTCAGTGTAAAGAGGCATTTCTTTTGAAAAACCCAGTAATAAATGAATCTGTGCCGCTAACTTGGTTAGTGTGAATCGCACATCCCCAAAAAGTACAGCTCAGTAATCATAGTTTATGCAGTGCGTGTCTGAGCTTTCGGAGTAAAAATAGGACGGGCAGAGTTGGCGTGGGCGAGCTCTCTGACTTGCTCGCCATGCGTGCAGCCCGCTCGTCCGGCGGCCTTTTCCCGTCCCCCAAATCCCAGCCTTCCCGGCGCTGTTGTCTTCCTCTGTTCGTTCCGCAATTCTTCAACGGCTCTCAGCTCTTCTCATGGACTTGGTCCGGATGTGCAGCTATTCTTGGCTTTTTTCGGGGGGTAACTCTTGGAGGAAGAGGAGGTCTGGTTTGAACCGCCAAGGTCGGTTTTGTGGGGGAAAAGTGCGCGGGCCGCGGCACAAGACCCCCGGATATTCTTTGTAACATGCGAGCTATACCGGCACCAAGCCAAGGCCGAAACAACAGAGGTGACCTAGAAAATGAACAATAGTCAAAACACGGTTATTGTTCTTAGACATAATCGTCATTAGTTCCTAACCTTTGGGCATTAGATTAGAAAAAAATTATACTAAGCAACGATATAATACTTTATTCAAACATGACATTTGTCTTAATGTCATGAGCAAAAATGACGGCCAATATTCGACGACATATTTCAACGTGTTAACAAAGTTTGGACTGGCCGATTCTTGATCTGCACCCCGATTGTACATATTTATTCGATACAAAACAAATTCTTCTCGGACGAGAACGAGTCAGAACTCCTTTAATTTTGGTCGAGGACAAGTCTCGGAAAGAAAATTACCTTTCAGTCGGCCTAGTTTGTATAAAGTCAGACAGACGGGTACCATCTCCCATGAAAGAGCAAGTTCTTAAAAAAAATGTCTAGTATATCACTCTATTTGCTTGAAAAATGCGACATAAACAATTTTTGCATGTTTACTGGCAGACTGTCCGTAACTGTGTGCAGCAGCGCGGACCTTTGTTTACATATACAGTTTTCTATTACAACAAGGATGCTGTGACTACCCACGTTGCCTCATTGTAATCAGTGCCCTGTTGTAAAGAACTGGAAAAATAAGGAGAAAAATATAAACGTTAAAAAAAATGGACTCCAAAGCTTTTCTGTATAAAAATAGTTTGTTCAGAAGTCCTCTGTGTAAGAGCAAAAATTGGGTATAAATTATAAATTTGCGATGTACATCTAAAGTAAGGGATGATTAGAAATGAAATAGCTTTGGGGGCTTTGGGAAATATTTGACATTTTGGTATAAATTTATAAATGAAAATAAAACCCTGTGTAATAGTCTATTATTCTGTATTAGTTTTAAAGTTTTATAATAGCGAAAATGAAACGTTAGAAGTTTATCAGATCCAATAAAAAACGTAAAATGCATGCATTTTGTTTACGAATCGTTTGTTGCTGTGTTTATCCAATGCTGTCTATCGAAGAAAACAAATAAGCATCCTTGGTATGCCTTTAGTTCTTTTTTTGTTTTCAACCAACAAACATCCACTTTCAGAAACCCAGTGGTGCCCACAAAGACGCCGACCCCGCCACATTGTTTTTTAGGCCTCGTTAACAGAATGATTTAGTGACATTGACGAAGTGGACTAATTTACCCGAGCCGTCAATTTAGCGGGACCGTGGGATTTCCCTGCCGGTCACGTTCGGCCAGCCTTTCTGACAAGAGCACTTACCCGCTTCTGTACATGCGATACACCCTCCTTTTCGAAAAATAAAACCTAAAGCACGACATTTTATCTTCTCGTAGTGTTTGTTATTGGGCTTATGGGTGAACATAAAGGTTATTAGTTCTTGTTGGAGGCTTTATTTTGGCCGATTATGTAGCTGCGGTTGGATAAAAGACGCAGGAAATAGACGAATTTGGGATATCATTAGGACTTTTGGGGAAAATTTTCCATTTAATGGTTTGGTGTCGTTTTGTCAGGTCCTGAATTACACCGCAGCTTTCTAAACAGATCTTTACTCATTCCCATGAGAGTAATGCTCAATGGAGGAAGTGTGAACTTTTGTGTCTTCCTATTGATTTTTCAATGTCAAAAACGGTCTCCCAGGTTTAATTGGATATCAACTGTTTCGAGGAAGGTTTACGAAAGCACTGAGCGGCGTCCGTGGAAACTGACGAAAATGAAGAACATGGCCGTTGACCGAATAAACTGTACACCCCATGCAAATTGCCTCCAGAAGAATTCTGCGCGAATCCTCATTTTATCAGCGTGCCTAATCTTGTCTAAAAGACCTTGACCTCAGCTACTCACAATAATTGTGGAATTCCTCTCCATTTGGCCACTTTGATTTAGGCAATCTGAACAATTTAGCACGATCTTTATTTAAACCCCTAATGTTGAGGAGGACAGTTCGGAATCATTATCTGGCTATTTTCAGCCAGATTGTTCAAGGGATTTTGCCTTTATAACATGAACTATGTTGTAATAATAGGAAAAGTATCAAAGTAAAGAATCTTTCTCTTTTTCTATACGCCTGCAGAGAGGTTTAACGAGTGCCTACCTGCCTCTTGGTAGCGTGCCGTACCAACCGTCCCACCAGCCCACGAGCCAGTACCACCCGCATCAGCATCATGACTGGCCGGGCGTCCACGTCCCCAGCACCGCCGATCACTCAGGGAGCGCCTCCTCGCACTCGGTCGGAAACATGGCGCTGTGCCACCCGACCACGCGCAATGACTATCTGACTGTAACGTCCTCGGCGCTTGCCGATGCGACTAAACTCCGCGTCGGAGGCGGCGGCGGTGGAGGGGGAGGAGGCGAGGTCGGAGGCAGCGTGTCGCCCGAGTCTGTCCCCAGCCCGACGGCGCAGAATAATGGGATGTTGGACGCCGGCCACGAGGACCAAGGGTCCATGGATAAAGGGAACCTCAAGAAAGGTAAAATAGAACTTTGTAGGAACAATGTTTGTCATAGCTTTGTCACAACAAATAACTATTGGAAGGCAACAAGGAATTCCTGAATGACTAATGTATCAAGTCTGAATGATATCCAACAATAAATAAGGCAAACAACTGCTGGCATTCCCTGGTAAATTGCGATCCGACGATTGCTTTTGAAGAACATAATTATCGAAGAAACGTTAAACTTTTTTTTTACATTTAAAATACTATTAGGCCTACATTAACGACTGTGAAATTCTCAAATCGGTGGCGCTTCATTTTTACATTCACTGAAAGTATTTTCACTTTTCTGCATTTCACTTTTATCCCACTAATTGCTACACCTCTTAATCACTTCCGTAATCAGTATAAAACATCAAGTCGCGAGGTTTTGACTAGACGGTACAGAAGTCTTTGATAAAATCAAAAAGAATCAAAATGGCACCAAACTGACCCAAATAACTGTGCTTATTATGGTAAGGTTTAACCTGCTTACGTTGCTGTACCGATTGTGTTGGGAGATTTCGTGATCTCATTCACGCACGACCTCACGTGTTAAGAGGAATAGATGAAACTACGATGCGCTCTGAGCCTTTTAGTCGAAGCGTTATTGGCATCGTACGTCAGAGAAAAACCACCGAAACCCCCAAAGCAAAAACCTTAACGAACTTTGCTCGCCGCACATATGCTGCTGCGTATTTTCTCCGAAACGCACAAACGTCCGGCCACAAAATTATTATCTGTGAAAGGCCAGACATCGTGAATGTGGCTTACGTGCTTCATTTCATCGCACCGATCGATTTAATGAAAATAGAACTCTCTTTTGACGACTCTCTGTTATATTGGGTACATGGTTATTTATGGTACATGTGCCTCTGTTCGTTCGGACTGGTGAACTTTCCGGTACCGGCTTGCATTCCCTCAAAGGGACCAGCGCTTTCTTTCAGCGCCGAGCTCTCATGCTTGGGGCCAAGGGGGGGGGGGTAGAGTGACAATTGTAGCCAGGGGGTGGGGATACTGGTGTCCCAAGAGCATTCGCCAATCTTCGACTCCTTCGGTATTATCAAGTCAAACATACTAGACTGAGTCTAAAGGAACAGGTATTTCATCATGTCCGAAGGCTCAACACCCCCCCAGTGATTCCGTTTGCTGTTAGGTATGAACTCTACACCATGTTCCGGTCATTTTGGGCGTCTGTTTTTGCATTTGTCGTGGTTTACAACTTCATCACTCACTACTCGCAAACATTTTGTCACAGAGAAAAAGCCAAACTAAAAGTTTAAATGGTCAGCAATAACGTTACGCACTACACCAGTATATTCGAGTAACACTTTAAATTAATCGACCGGAACACAAACTTTAAGATGCATTTTCAAAACTTATAATACAAAAACTGCATTGCGTACATCCCTTAATTAAATGGCCAAAATATATGCAAAATCGAATCTACAAGGTGTCTCAAGATTTCCTTTCACTGAGGAATCAAAGAAGACAACTGTGAAACTCTTTAATCGCACCAATGGGTACACGTCCCATCTCCGTTCCCATGCCTAGTCTCCCACCGAAGCGCAGACATTTCATCTTTGTAATCGGTGTCGGTTAATTTTTTGCTGGCGAAAGTACAGGGGTCACCGGAGACCCTGAACTTCACATCTCGTTGCCACCCCCCCCCCGGCGTAAAAGAAGTAGGAAGAAGGGGAGCTCGGAGAGACGGACCAGATGTGGCTGGCCGTGACTCGCCCCGGGCGCTTCTCTCTTGAAATGCCTCTTCTGTCGTGTGACGGCATTTTTTCCCCTTGTCTGATATGATGGAACTGGGTCAAGGGGGTACTCTGATACCTCGGGCCATGCTTCCAATTTTTGTACCGAATGCATGGATGACATCCGGACGTGCACACGGCTGGCGAAACGGAGCTTCGGCATAGAAGAAATACAAGTTCACGAACAAGCTGTGGACTATATGGGACAAGTTCAAGACAGAAACACTTGTCGCCCAACAGTCGATTTTGCCTGGTATTTGGAATATACTTTGTGCATAGGTTACCAGGGGAAAATTCAACCAACAACCGATAAGTTGTCCTCGATCGAACTTGCCCGTACATCATGTCCATTTTTTTGTTTATATAACAGAGCGCCCTCTGGCCATAACGGCTGGAGGAAAAACAAGCTGGAAACCGGCCCAGACGTCTGCTTTTGGACCTGCACCAAATTTTGAAAAAAGGGGCGATTTTGTTTTACATAATTGGACATTTTTAATACCACACTGCAATTTCGAAATGTACAGAGTCCGAGTATTGGTGGTGTAGCAATGAACGTCAACAAATCAAACCCACATTATCGCCTCGATCCACCCTGTGACTTGTTTCCGTTGTTGCCTGAAAATCGCGAAAGCTAGTTTCCTCAGCACCGTTGTTGGCATCCAGTAAGATGTTAATTTTTCCAACGATCAGCCTGCCCCCCCCAATCGGGATGATGAGTTGGATACTAAATATTACAACTGTTAAACGTCACTCGTGACTGAGCTCCAACTATCCCTCTCCGTAAAAAAAAAGTTGAGATTGCTGTTAGTGAAGAAGGTGAAAAGTCTAATCAGGTCGTGGGGAAATTCCATTCGATTCACTTTCACTCCTGCTTTCTTTTATGTCATGATTTACTGCAGGTCAGCCTCAGCAAAACGCTTACAAACAGAAATCACCTATTTTTTTCCTTGGGGGGGCGAGGATTCGTCGTCGTATCTTGTTTGCGTTTTGTCCGCATCCTGGCACAGATCAAGCAAAAAAGGTGCTCACTGCACGGCGAGTGTTCTTCCTCAGAAATCCCTTGCCTTTTTCTGGCGTTTTTATTGCCTCTCTAGCAATCAAATCAGAAGCGAAGGACGGTTCGCGCTGCACAGCGGCCGTAGCGAGAATCAAAGAGACTTGGGGCAACCGACTTCGCCGCGCGGAGGAGACCTAAATCTTCTGGACCGTCGCAGTGAAATGTTGCCGTGGCAGTGAGGGGAGTCTCGTCCGTGAATCAAGCGGTTATATATGGTCCCCCAGGTATCACGGCAGCCCTGGTCAATGTCTTCAACTCCAGACCTTTCCCCAACACTCTCTGCGAATGAACTGATTCCAAAACACGCATCCTTCGTCATAAATCTGTCATTGTTTCAGTGGGTTTCGTTTTGTTTACTGCCGAGGCACATTAGGACAGGGAAAAGAGTACAGGCTCCACTCGTGTTTTTTGTTGATGTGCGCATGCTTACTTGTTTGTTATTTTATTTGTGTTGTTACCAGCATTCCTGTTCGTCATGTGATGTTTCTCATTTTGTTTGTTAATCATGAGAAACTTTCGGTAAAAAATACTTCTGTGATGGGCAAATATTACACGCATCCTTTGAGGAAAATGATAAATTTTCTTCAAGCAAAGAGTCTTGCTTAGAGACACAAGGCACCCCCCTGTTGGATTTGAACCGGTGTGCCCTGTGGCCATTGGCGCGCGACCAGGCAATGGCAGCCCGCAACAACACTGAATTTTCGTGTGGCCAATTTTCCTCGCTCCAGTTTTGCTTCTGTCACCATCCCGGTAACGCTTTAATACACATGTAAACTTTCCATTTCGTTATAGTCTATCACACTACAGTTAAACGCTATACACCAAACTACGGGAGTTACGACGAGTCAGACCATACAAAAACTAAACTCTCTGTTCGATGCTCTTCTTCATTTTTCATAAGAAAAGGCCATCTTTTTTTTACAGATGGACTGATCTAGATTTATCCACAGCCGTTGTGGAGGTGCATTCCATCTGAGAGAGAGGGAAAAAAGGTTTTTGAGTTAAGCCAACCAAAGAACAATACACAGGACCTCTTTTCAACAAATAATACCTCCTCTTTATTTTCCCTCTGGTAAATAAAACCGACAGGTCTTTAACTTCAAAAGAGGGGGGGGGGAGAAAAGGGAAAAAATCTTCACTTCCATCACTCGTCAGTGTCTCAGTTAAAGGTGTGTACAGGGCTGCGTTGATATGTCACTTTACGGTTTATGCTGTGGGCAAGAGTGCATATCCCATTCGGTTTGCGGTCCAGGTCCAGAACAGAATACGGACACGCCGAAAATGAGCCGATTTTTCCCGGCTGACCGTGCTCCTGAATGAAGCGTCTCTCTCCCCTCGACGGGCAGGAACAATTCATGGTGATCACAAATCAATGATTGCATTGAAAATCTTGCAGCGGAAAGCGTAAATAATGTCTACTAGACACTGTGTGGCGTATGTAAAGGGGTGGGGTCAGCTTGCCCCGTTGACATTATGTTCATTGTTGCTGTAAGGATTTGAAAGTGGTATCAGCATTTTCAAAATGGTGCTCCCACCTTATGCGGGTGAAAACACTGCATAGTTGTTTCTATTAAGAAAAAACTTCAATTTTGTCCCCCCCCCTCCTCGCCCCAAGAGGCTGGATACGTCATAAACCCTGAGCAAGCATAGCTGGAACCGTACCGTAAAAAGTCCAAAACACGAGAGGTTTTCTGATCACTTCACACAACGCTGCTGCGATTAGACTCTCGAGGTGAAGTTAAAAAGTGTTTCAAGATCGATGCCGGTGGCATGATTATTTTGTAAAATAAATTTTACGATTTTCCTTTTTATTTTTGTAGTTTATAGCTTCACACATGGGAACTGTATGTACATGGAAGACGTCATTATCCTGTCTCTGTTTTATAAAACATGCGATATAAGGAGCTTTAGATACAATTGAATTGATTGATATTGTAGACTCAGCCCCAGAAGGACGAAAAGTCGAAACCCGACATAAATTGAACGGTCACGTTTTTACATCGCGACTTTGTGGCGTAGAGTCCCTGCAAGGCTCAACTTAATATGGCTACGTTGACGATACCTTTTATGTTTACCTTTACTATTTTCCAGCAGTGATTCGTCTTGAAAAAATTGAAGATATATTTAAAAGCGCTGTTTATGCCGTATTTTGCTCAAGGGAGTGTAGGCCCCTATAGTTA